GTCCAGCTGTCCGATAAGCAAAGAAAAATGGCGCATCCAAAGTATAAGGAAGAGAGAGAGAGAGAGAGAGAGAGAGAGAGAGTACGTGGAAGGCACCTCACGCTTTAAGCTGTCACAATCTGCCTGTCTGTAGATCTGTGTCCAAATGTGCGATGGGCAGAGAACAAGAATGGCGCATCCAAAGGATAAGGGGGGGGGCACACAGAGAGAGAGAGAGAGAGAGAGAGAGAGAGAGAGAGAGAGAGAGAGAGAGAGAGAGAGAGAGGGTACGTGGAAGGCACCTCACGCTTTAAGCGGCCACAATCTGCCTGTCTGTAGATCTGTGTCCAGACGTGCGATGGGCCGAGAAAAAGAATGGCGCATCCAACGGATAAGCGGGGGGGCACACACACACACACACACACACACACACAGTGTCACACACACACGTACACAGAGAGAGAGAGAGAGAGAGAGAGAGAGAGGAAAGCACAGCGAACCAGGGAGAGAGAGGGGAAAGCAGAGAGAGCGAGAGAAAAGGGTACGTGGAAGGCACCTCACGCTTTAAGCTGGCAGCATCGTTATAGATGAACGAGTACCGTAGATCTTTGTCCAGATGAGCGACGACGATCGGCGAGTTCTCAAGAGCTATCCTCAAGCATTCACCCTCCGCAATCCGAATGTTCAGCTGCTTCATATCTCCCCCCCCTCCTCCTCCTCCTCCTCCTCCTCCTCCTCCTCCTCCTTGACCCACCGTTTTCTCGTCCTCCCGGCACCTGCTTACCCAGTCCTTATCACCTGCCACGTGTCGCTTGCTCCTCCTCCCATCATCTCCCATGTCCCTGATGAACTCCTGAAGCTGCTCCTGTCTCGCTAGGCTATCTTCCAATCGCCTCAATAGTTCATTCTCCCTTTCAAGCCTCCTCTTCTCCTGCTCTCTCTGCGCAGATCTTAGTTCATCCACGTGGTCCATCAACTGATTGACACGTCGTTTCAGCGCATCGTTGGCCTGCCTGCTCTCCTCAAGCCTCTCGCTATACTCCGACGCTCTCTCCTTCCACAACCTAATCCCACTTTCCTCCCCTCCTCCTCCCTCAAGCTTCCTTCCTTCTCCTACTCCCATATCCAGAAGGCAAGTGTCCGCAGTCAATATCGCCTGCACTCCGACAGATACGGTCATCACTCCCTGACGAGTAGTTAAGCTCCCCCCACCACCTACAACTCCCCCTGCTCCTCCCTCCAGCTCCATCATGCTGCACTTCTCCCTAAATCCGACCATATCCCCCTTCCTTCCCCTCTACTACCCCCCCCCTTCCCCCCTCTCCCTGCTTCCAGTCCACGTTTTCCTCCTCCTCCTCCTCCTCCTCCCCCTCCTCCTCCTCCTCCTCTCCTCCTCTTCTCCCTCTACTCTCACTCCTTGTCCCACCTCCTTCCTCCCTCTCCGCCTCCTCCTACTACCACGACCCACCTATTGTTCGCGCACCCGCTCCGCAAAAGTGTTGACGTCAAAGCGATCCCGAATCGAACAGCCAACAACGGCAGCCAGCAGGATTTGCCGCGCCCCCGCTTCCGAAAAAAGTGTTGACGTCAACGCCTAATAGCCGCGGAGAAAAGAGGAGGAAGCTCTAGTACGGGTACAAAAGGTGGCAAAATAATCCGGACTGCGCGGAGGAGAATATATGTATTATATATAAGCTAAAGGGGGGATCGGTCAGGCATAACTCTCGCGCGCCGGGCTTGTTGGTAATCGCTTCTACGAGAGAGTCCTCCTCCCCTCTTCCTTCTCCCTCCCCTCTTCCTCTTAGACATAACATCTACATGCCCAACATGCCCGCCAGACTCTTCACACCCCACTTCTGTCTCTCACGCCTACGATTCTTCTCCTCCTCCCTCTCTCTTCACCCCAACAGAACCCACAGCCCACCCTCCTCCATTCGATCGTTCCTTCCTTCCCCTCTCCCCCCCCTCCTCTCTCTCTCTCGTTCCTTCCTTCCCCTCTCCCCCCCCTCC